GGGGGGGGGGGGGGGTTGGATTTTTTTTGGAAAGTTTTGGGGGTTTAGTGAAATAAAGTGTTTTTTGGGGGGTTTTGTTAGAAACCGCAAATAGCAATTTTCAAACCGCAAAAAGCAATTCCCTGCTTCAAATAATATCACTGTTTAAGCATCAATGGAGTGAGGGAATTGATCTATCTGTGAATTTTTTTTTTCTCAGAGTATTATGCAAAAATTTGTAGTAGATATGATGAAAAGGCTATACTAGTACTAGTCAAAAAACAAATCACCACCAAGACAGAACCCCAGTTCACTGCAGTAAGTGAAACATAAAACCCTTCCAAATATCACGCTGACGGAAGATTGGAGAGTGAATATCAATTACCTTTACCCCCTGAGTCATAGATGTAACGCTTCAATAATTCCATATACTTGTATAAGTTATTCCCAGTCGTGGAAACAGCATCACATAGAAAAGAAACAATAACCGAAGACAACTTCTGGAAGATTTCAGCTTCCGTATCTTCAACATAGACATGATCTCCACTATGGCCAGGTATAAAAAAGAACCATGCACAAATTTCCCTCGTGTTATTATCGAATGCACCAGTGCTTAACATGGCTGCCTTTGCTAAGGCATAAGCTTGTTCCTTAGTCTCTCCAGCTGGCGAACCCAATAACCAGACAATAAATGGATTGAGGTGCTTGTACATTTGTGGGGGGGTTCTGATAGTGGTCGCATCTTTAGAAAACTGACTGACGTGTTCGTTAAGCAGTTCTAATAGAGACTGCTGCAGAATTGTTGGTGATGATAGAGGATTATTTGGTAGAAATTTGAACACATCAGATAATCCTTCCATGTCCATAGGCATAGTCCGCTGCAAAACAGTAAAGAACTCTCCGGTAAGTTAAAAGCATGGCCAACAATTTGACTAGGAAAAATCGAACTTCAAGGAGAATTACGTTTTGAGAGTGGAAGGACATCGAATAAATAAGAATACAAAATTTCCTATTCATATATCAAAATTATACATGCAGACTAGCACAAAAAATAAGAAGAGAAAACGAAGTTTAAATACCAATATTTGCATCATTGTAAATAGCCCTTTTAACATGTTCCAAGCAATATGTAGCACTTGACTAATTACAAGAAATTTTTTGAGTTATTTTTTAGGTTAAAATGGAGAAGAAAATGTATCAACATGCTCAAAGAGAATCAACTTTTAAGGCCATATCCATCAAAGAGAAGTAACTGTTAAGCACTGAAATCAGTCGATAATCGATACTAATACATGAAATCGAAATAACCTTCCAAATTCTTATTATTCGAGCCGATATCCATCAAGACTCATCGTGACCAAAGTTTAAAAGTGACCAGAAAACCAGTTATTTTCCTGTACGTCTTAACAGATGTAGTCTATAATAAACCCTTAAACGCCACATAACTTATAAGTGAATCAAGATCTTTGAAGTAAAAACAATATGTCTCCGTCTTTTAGATCCAATTCAGGAAGAAAATTAAATGTCACAACTAAGATACTGAGTCAAATTTATCGGAGTACTTCCTAGATACTCGACAGCTATAGTATTCCAAAAAAAATTGAAGTAAATAACTTACATAATAGATTGCAAGTGATTCAAGTATCTTGGAGAAAAAATATGTATCGCCATCTTTTAGATCCTTACGCGTCGTAGAGCATTTACGCAAACCCCACAGATCTCTGATACAACTCACAATATCAGATCCATTCTCCTCCGATTGTTGCTCACCATCTGATTCTGTAACCACACCATCCCCGGATAGATCTATCTCAGAGGAATTAACCCCACTTATAAGAATATCCACATCTTCACTTGCTGCAGAACTTTTCAACCTCTTACTAACATTCACAGAGTGTTCTGATTCAATTTCTGCTTCAGCCTTCCTTTTCGTAGTAGACTCGAAGCTCTTGAAGTGGCTATGTAGAGGAGAAAGTAAAGACAACAAAACTTGGGGGTCAGGAAGTGACATACGAGCTCCGTTTTGAATTTCCGCCTTCAACGCTTGCCAGCTATCCTTTGTCTGATTGTTCGAACGAGCACAATTTTCCAAGGCTTTAATCAAAGAGTCCAACAATTTCAGTGCCTCCACTACAAACTTCAATGCTCCATGTTTCACAAGAGAATCAATGTGAAGTAGCCCTTTATTGATAACTAATCTGGTGAAGGGTTGTGGTCTTATGCATTTTAGAACACTCTGCAGATTCTGACTGTCGAATGCAGGTGGTTTATCTTTATCAACAAAGCCAAACGAAAGTCCCTCACTAACTGAGGAAATCACATCTGCAGCCAACGAAATAGCAGCAAACCTACAAGAAGCCGAATTTATTAACTATATTATTAGCATTATAGAGATACAATTAAAACAGACGGTAAAACATCTAACCAATTATCCGATGCAAGATCTTCAAGGCTGTAAGGAAACTCATCCAAATAAGCAGAACCAAAAGAAGGGCGTCCTTTTGCAATGGCCAGAAGCAGGCTCTTATGGTACTCAATTTCTGTCGCCTTCAATTTTTTCATTAAATCCACAAGACGCTTCAAATTCCCAGGCCTATTCGAATCTGGCATCAACCCGTTTTCAGGGTTAGTGCAAACCATAACCAACACATTGTATGCCAACTCCGGTGCATCACCAAAATCAAACCTCCCTGAAATATTAACCAAATGCTCCAAAGTAAGGCTACCGAATAACACACTCCTACGGCTCGGTGGCACGAGTGACTCTTGAACAAGAACCCTATCACGTAAAGTTGACAGAATATGAACCACCGTCTCTTCATCGTCATTCCCCAGCCCCCTCATAACCCCTGAAAACATCTCCTTGTGCTTCATACTCAACATCACCTTCAACAAACGTGGATTGCCAACTTCCAAAAACGACATTGCAAAACCCACAAATGCTTTTCTTGTGGAATGACTTTTCCTTCTCTCCTCAACTTCTTTCTTCACCCTCAATCTAACTTTGGCCAGATTAGTAAAACCCGCAAGCTTGTAATCGAAAACCTTCTCCACTTCACCAGCAAAATGCAAACTACGTCTCACAATAGAGGCCAGCAACAAGAGGGCGGCGTTCTGCCGCTTGCCCTCTCTACTGTTCAACTCCTTATACAAATCCGACATCTTCTCCTTAATAAGCATTGTTGCAAACTTATTCAACGTCGAAGAAATATCAGCACTGCCGCGCTGCTTCATAATCGCTGCAACTAAATTCAGAACATGCGGAAACCCAGGTTTGTCTTTGTGGGATTCCCAAGCCTGGTAAATTTCAATCAAATCCGACGACGTTGTGACATATATACGCATAACTTCAGGGGCTGAATCGGATTTGAGAATCTTGATAAATCCTTTGGAGGCATCGATAAATAGCGATTGCTCGGCGGATGCCAAGTTCCGAAGGAGCTCTCTAAGCTTGGCTTCGTAGTTCATTCTGACAAAATTAATTTAGAGATTACCTCCGACAGTTCTTCGCGCGATTTTGCAAGTATTCTGTCAATAAATAGAGTAAGTCCTTTTTATCACGCTCAATTAATTTCCAGGAAGAGGCAGCAGTGCTTTTACTATGTCATACGGCGTGAAGATGGATAATATCGCGTCGCCGGTGGCCGATAGTTGCGGCAGCGAAACTGCACGCCAAGTGTTTGATAAATTGTGGCGGCGAGACGAGAGCGGAGTTTGAGAAATCGGAATAGCGGGCAGGGGTATCAACTATTTATACTCAAAACGAGTCAAACCTTAATCAAAAAAGTCAATACTTAGGTCTTGTTTGGTTTGTTCCCAAAATTAAAAAATAAAACCAAAATTTTTAAAACAAAATAAAAAAAAGGGGAAAAGAATAATGGGTTAAACGGGCCGGATCCCCTGAAAACGGGCCGCCCTTTTCAATTTATGCACTGCAAATATTTCTTAAGCCAATCAATCACTTTGATTCCTCTCTCTCTCTCTCTCTCTCTCTCTCTCTCTCTCTTCTGCGAATTGCCCTTCGCTGCATAATTAACAGCCATGGCTTCTACTTCTGCTTCAGCTGCCAGTTTTAAATCTTTCGAAACCATGGCGATTTCGAATAATAACTATTGCTATTCTCACTCACTCAGACCTAATACAAACCATTTCTTGAAATTCAAGCCGAGTTTCAGCTCCAATTTTTTGTCTCTCTCCGTCACCACAAAATTGCCCAGAAGGAAATTTCAAGGTGAGTTCTTGAATTCTAGGTTTCCGTTACTTTTGAATATTTATTTTAGAAATGGATATTTCGACAAGTTTTTCATGTTTGCTGAGAACCCCTGATTGAAGTTGAAATTACGAAAAAACCCCATCATGTTTTGGTAATTAGAACCACCGCCAACTATGAATCTCCTTACATGTCCACTCTAATGTGTCGAATGCAACAATCTTCTAGAATTCCGTGGAGTGTTCTCTAGTTTGTATTCGTTTTGTGCGAAAATGTTGTTTCTGATATTTACAAGCCAATTGATAGCATCTTATGATCATCTTGATTTAAAATGTGGAGCTCGAATGACGTAAAACGGGTACAAGTTAGAGAATATTCCACATAATCTAGAAGATTCTATTAAATTTAACACCAATTTGGGTGGACGTGTAAGAAAATTCATAGTTGCGGGATGGTCGTAATTACCCAAACATGAGGTTTTTTTCGTACTTTGACCTTACCTTAGGAGGTTGGCCGTAATTTACCCTAAAAATGATGATGCCCTTATGTTTATAGTTTATGTAGTCTTAAGCAAGAATCTGTAGTTTCCCTACGGAGAGCTCGGAAAAATACACTTGGGCCTCGTTTGATTACGAATTAGAATCTGCGCATATTCTTATAATGCATGTTTAAGTATGATATACTCTCTTATTATCGTTTTTGTTCCAGTGAAATCGATTGCTGCTCCGACGGAATCAATATCAGGCTTCGAGGAAATGGTAACTGGTACTCAGCGTAAATATTACATGCTTGGTGGAAAGGGCGGAGTTGGAAAAACTAGCTGTGCTGCATCACTTGCTGTTAAGTTTGCAAATAACGGGCACCCTACACTAGTTGTTTCGACCGATCCTGCACATTCTTTGAGCGATTCTTTCGCCCAGGTTTATATTTTTTTTTTTTCGGATTTTTCGTTAAAATTTTCAAGAAGTGTCAATTTTGTTCGGTTGTTTTTTAAACGTAGGATTTAACCGGTGGAACGCTAGTAGCTGTTGAAGGTCCCGTTTCGCCACTTTTTGCACTTGAGGTGAGTGGGCAAGTGTTTCTCGAGAATAAAAGAACCGTCTTTTTCTTGTGCCTCGTTTGGCGAAATTGAATCTTTTTTCGGTGGGACAGATAAACCCTGAAAAAGCAAGGGAGGAATTTCGAAATGTTAGCCAAAGTAACGGTGGGACTGGAGTCAAAGATTTCATGGATGGCATGGGTCTAGGTTTGATTGCCGATCAGGTAAAACTTTTCCGACCCGTGGTGAAATTATCATTTTTTTAATTTGAATATTCTTGATCGATTAGAATTTGCACAAAGTGGTGTTGAATTTTTAACCACCCGCGTTTAATCATGAATGGAAAAAAAAAAAAAAAGAGAATTCGAATTTCTCGTCTTTCTTGAAATTTCGCATATGGAGGAGCACTTGAAAATTGAAATTTATTTCTTTATTTGCCATCGAAAAACGACCTAATTAATATTCGGATTTTGTTTGGGCTTAGCTCGGGGAATTAAAGCTTGGAGAGTTGCTGGATACACCTCCTCCTGGTTTAGACGAAGCTATTGCAATTTCAAAGGCGAGTTTTAACGTTTTGAATTAGATCGTTTAGCCGACATTTTCTCGTAAAAAGCTTTCCGTTGCTGAGTTGAAGAATCTTTTGACAGGTTATTCAATTCCTCGAATCACAAGAATACAACATGTTCACTCGGATAGTGTTTGATACCGCCCCGACGGTGAGGAACAAATTTTAATTTTCTTTTGATAAATACATGAGTTATAAAAAAAGATCCTTTTTTTACGACGGGCTTTTCTTCAGGGTCATACATTACGACTTTTGTCTCTGCCAGATTTCTTGGATGCATCGATTGGGAAGATATTGAAGGTAAAACATTTAAGAGGGAATATTCCGACTTTTTTTTTTAGGGTTCATTTACCTTTTTGTCCTCACGTTTTCTTGGCAATGCATGTTGCAGTTAAAGCAGAAGATATCTTCGGCTACTTCAGCTATAAAGTCCGTCTTTGGCCAGGGAGAAAATAAACCAGACGCTGTAAGCCTTAAATTTTTATCTTATCCTAGTAATTAATAACATGTTTTTCGATCCGACTGAATCGCTGACATCATTAATTTTTATTTATTTATTATAGACCGACAAATTAGAGAAATTAAGAGAAAGAATGATAAAAGTGAGAGAGCTTTTTCGTGATACAAGCTCTACCGAGTTTGTAATTGTGACAATCCCCACGGTAATGCCATTGTTTAAACTATCGTTTAATTTGAATCAAGTGATTTTCCATTTTATTGTTTGTTTGATTTTTTTATGGAGGAATTATTCTTCGATTTAAAAAAAAATAATTTAAAAAAAAAATTATTTTCAGGTGATGGCAATCAGTGAATCGTCAAGATTATGTGCTTCGTTGAAAAAAGAAAGTGTTCCTGTCAAGAGGCTAGTTGTTAACCAAATCCTTCCTCAATCTGCCTCCGACTGCAAGTTTTGTGCAATGAAAAGAAAGGTACGACCGTACGAGTACTAATTAATTAAAGTAATTTAATCATTTTTTACAATTACGTACAAAAAAATCGAATAAATTATAATTTTCCGAAGAAAAAAAAAAGTCCTGTTTTTGTTTAGTAGTGGTCACGTAACAAAGAGCAAATGAAACAAAGATATAAAATCGAATTTTTCGAATTTTTTAATCTATAATGTCTTTTTCTTAATGTCAGGATCAAACACGAGCTCTGAGCACAATCGAGAACGATCCGGAACTTTCCGAATTGACAATGATACAAGCACCTCTTGTTGATGTAGAAATAAGGGGAGTACCTGCTCTTCAGTTTTTAGGGGACATTGTTTGGAAATGAAGCCCTTTCGTTTTATCGGCTATCGGTGTAAGTTTCATTTCTCGGGTTTTTTTACATTCATGCGTTTATTTGAGAATTAGAACTGCCTTAAAGAAGTCTCGAATGATATGTCTATCTTCTTATACCCCCGTCCACACTTGAGGTGTCAAATTTAGTGGAATCTTCTAGATTATATGGAATATTCTCCAGTTTGTACCCGTTTTACCCCATTCGAGCTCTACATTTTGAAACAAGATGACCATAAGACGTGTGTGTCTCTTGGCTTGTAAATATCAGATTGTGGTGCATTTTTTTGCACAAAACGAGTACAAACTAGAGAACATTTCACGGAATCTAGAAGATTCTGTTGAATTTGACACCATAAGGGTGGGATGCGTAAGAAGATTCATAGTTGAGAGGTGGTTGTAATTACCAAAACATGAGGGGGGTTTTCGTAATTGACCTTAGGGGTGAACGTAATTTACCCTATAGATATATCATGTTACACCACTACAAGTGGATTCTTGTTTGACCTAATCTCTCTCTCTATCTCTCATATGCAGGTCTCTTACTACAAATATGAAACAGATATACAAGCAAGCGTTGCCAGGTGGAAGTTTGCTTAAGCCTAAATTATTACAAGAAAGATGAATATATATACCCTTTTTTTTTTTTTAACACAAGGGAGTTAGATAACAAAACTAAGGGAGATAAGAGTGATCATTGAACCAACATCTTCTTTCGAAATATTCGTCTGTAAATTAAACCGATTTTACATTTACACCTCGTTCGTATTTCCATGTATCGAACTTTTTGGTATTCATATTTCTTCTGGGATTCAAGGATCAAGTTTTACTTTCGAGATCAATTCATTCAAATAAAATTGTATGTATGTATATATACAAATCATATAAACATGCCCCTCGAGGCCCCTATTAGGGTATATATTTGTCGTCTAATCTAATTTCATTACAATTTGTTAGTTGTGGCTCGATCGACCTCGTACAAAAATCACAAACTTTAACTATATAGTTTTTTTTATAAGTTTATATACTTAATATTTCTTTCCTAAAGTTAGCATACCGATGAAAGCTACGATTCGACAAGCTGCACCGGCTCCCACGAGAAGGTATATACATCGATACCATTCATGCAGATTGTACCCCGTTCTCATAAGTGCACCACACCGCTGTATTAGCCATACACCGTAATATCTGCACGTAGCGAATAATAACCAAAAACACACCAAATGAGATATAATTATTTAATCAATCGTTTCAATATCTAAAAGAATATTTCGGAAATTAACAAAAAACAAACCTTTTCGCGTTCGAAACTATAAACGCTTCCAAAGCCCAACGCGGATAACACAGACGCGTCAGAGTCTTCATAACTTGACTGTTTGTGGGCTGTGTCGAAAGAAGAGTCAAAACCACCGGTAGAAGTACCGAACACTGCATGCAAACATCGAAAGAAATTGACGTCTAACGAACCCGAATAAAAAATAAAATATTTTTTTTTTTTTTTTTTGTTTATTTACCAGCTGAGATGGACCGGGTTCGAGGAATATTGCCAATGCGTAAGCAATACCGGTGACGCAATATACGAGACAGAGAAGTACGATGTAGTTGTCCAGAAAGAGAGATCTTGGATTGCTAAAGAAATAAAACATCGATAGATACACTAAAGGCTTAATAAGTGTACTAAAATGGTCGATTGTGTCTTTCGCAATAAAATGAGCGAGGCTGCTTATTCCCGAAGCGCGTTCTCTCTGGTACTGTAACTTGTCCAATGAAAACGTCCTCAAAGCCGAAATTTTGCATAGCAAAGCTGATCGAAATGAAAAAAAAGAAATAGAAAATTTTAAGTAAATAAAAAAAATGGTAACTGAAAAATCGAGATTTTTTTTTTTTTTTTTTCTTTCAAAATTTCGACTCACAAGTAGCTATAATGGTGTAAGTATAACCGGGTCCACCAAAACTTTCGTCGCTCGCTTTTGTAATAAGACCCAAACAAGCACCAGCAAGAAGCAATATCAGATAGTCTATTGCTTGGATTCTCGCTTCTCTAAGCCTCTGTTTAGCCATCCTAAAAAACGAAACAAGAAAAGTTTGAAAGGGCAAAATCGTCATTTTTATTTCTCTGTTTTTTTTTCTTTTTTTTTTAATTCGGGCGAGAATAAAAATGTTTTCTTTCGTGTTTACCTTCCTAAGAAGTGCCTGTACTGTAATAAAATCCAAGGAGTTCTCCTCCCCGACAAATCCTTCGACTTCAAGAAATTATTCTTCAAAACGTCACATTGAGCTTCCACTTTATATTTCAAATTTTGCCAAAATTCCCCAAAAAACGAGAGCTGTTGTTCAGTACCGGAGCCAGCGTAATTTTCTTGATTTCCAGAATAATCGGGCTCACCTACACCAGAAACACTCTTCTGCATATCCGCAGGTACAGGGTAGCCCTTATGGAGCATCCATCTCAATGGAAGCTCCTCGTAAGTCAAACCTGAGCTAGTGCTCGGTTTGACCATTCCTTCCAAAACATCAATGAAATAATCGGGCGGATTAATACGTTCCGGAACATTAATACCGAGATGTGCAAAGTAATCTTCGACATCTCTCACTTCACCATGGTAGGCTGTGAGACCTCCCTTTGCTAGAAGTATTAAATCATCGAACGTTTGAAACAGTGCATAGCTGAAAAAAACGAGAAAAGGGTTTAATGCATGCATAGGGTTCTTGAAACTGAAGTCGGAGAAAAAGGGTTTAATGCATTCAGCACCCCTGTGTTTGTTCTAATTATTAAAAACACCCCGTCTTAATTTATTACAAAAAACCCCTATGATTCAATTTTTTTTAGCAAACTAACCCAAAAAACTCGCGTTTTAGGGGGTTGTGTGCTAAAAAAATGTATTATACGGGGGTTGTTGCCAATATATACAGGAAGTTTTTTAGCAATTCTATACAACACATGGGTACTAAATGCAATAAACTCAGAAAAAAAGGGTTTTTAAAAAAAATTATTTCAAGATAGTTGCTAAAAGATATTTATTACCTTGGTTGGTGGACAACCATACAAATATTGACACCCTCAACAGCTTCACGTTTGAGCGCTCGAAGAAGGAGCTGAGAAGATGAGCTGTCCAAACCAGAGGTGGGTTCGTCTAAGAATAGAAGAGAAGGTTCCATTACAAGCTCGAGTCCTACATTTACACGTTTTCTTTGTCCCCCGGAGATTCCTCGTTTTTCGATAGTTCCGACTAAGGAGTCTCTCACTGGCTGCAATCCTAAAGATTCGATGACTCGTTCCACTACAAGTACCTTGTCTGCTTTTGGTAAATCTGCCGACAATCTATCGAGAAAAAAAATAAAACTAATTTATTAGCACAATAACATTGAAGAATTAGCCAAGATAAAGATTATTGCAATCTTGTCTCGATAGTATAGTTTGGGCCTTGTTTGGTTCCTAAGATTAGCCTAAGATAAAGATTAAACAGACTAATGAAAACACAAATACATTGGACCATGGAACCGAATTAGCGAAGATTAAAGCCATTTTTTCCACAATTGCGGGCCAGCCCGAAAAGTTATTCCGAACCAATTATTTAATTAATCGTTGCTAATCTTACGCAACCAAACAAGGCCTAAAAAACTTGGTAGACATCCAAGAAAAGGGTCAAACACGCATTCTCAATAAACCAAAAAAAGGGTACATTCTCCCCAAATTTTGGCCCGGCCCAAAAAATCAGTGGACTAACCAAATACTTCAAATAAAGCTCAATTCTTTAAATTAATCATGAGTTATCTTGCCAAGCAAACAAGACCTATGTAGATTGTACGAAAAATCCAAGGCATATCGATATATTGTTCGTACCTGCAATTGGCACTGAACCAAATATTCTCTTCGACAGTTAGATTCCCATGCACGACATCATCCTGCGGTACAAATCCAACAATCTTCTTATACGACCTAACCGACTCCACTTTCCCGTTTATAAGAATCAATCCACTTATCAAACACCCGACCGTTTTTCCAGCCAATGCCGAAAGCAGAGTCGTTTTTCCAGCGCCAGAGGGGCCCATCAAAGCCGTTATTCTCCCCGGTTTAATTTCCCCTGTAACAGATCTCAAGAGACACTTCTTTTTCTGCTTCAAAGTTACCGTTAAATATTTAAACGAAATCTCGATCGGTGGCCTTTTCCTCGCCTCGTCATCAATCATCATAGTAATCACCTCCGAAAACGTCAGCTCTGCATTATGCTGCTGTTGAGCTTTCTCCTTTTCGAGCTGTGAATACGCGTACTTGAATATTTGCGTGTCTCCACGAAGATGCCTCGCCTTTATTTTTTTATTATTATCTTTATTTTCGGCGGCTTCGCTGTGTTCTTCCGTTTTCTTCTGTATAGCTTCGACTTCCTTTCGCTCGGATGTAGCCTCACTCTGCAGAGCACTAGCATTTGTAAAAAACGGAATTATTTTTTTTTTCTTTATTTTTTTTTTAAATTATATATTGTAACCTGTTCGTTTGGAAGGACGATGGTTCGACGTGAAAATGAAAATGAACGGGTCGCCTTTTTTTATTGCGTCTGTTG